AAAAATATGAAATAATAATATAATATATTGATTGAGATTCTCATTACATGTATTTAGTCCTAAAATTTTCTACTGATTCATAATTTAACAATTGGTTTAACAGTATATTTAACAGAATATTCTGATATCATATTATTTATACTGTTTATGGTAATAGCTGAGATAATCTATTGTAATTTATCTCATATAATATGAATCTGTTTGACATCATTGGGAACAATAGGAAACATAATTTCAGGGCTTTTATGGGATTAATCATCCAGTGATGTCCACATAGTAACTGGGCTAACATAAATATAAGTATGGTCATCCCTATGCAATATAATAAATATTCGCATCTATACTTTATTTACACAATTAATAATTGCGCTCAACATGAGATCCTTATATTTAATAATAAAGCCATTAATAAAAATAATTTTTATGTCATAAATACTATCTTATAAAAAATAAAACATTTATTTGTATTATATGTGTGTTTTCGAGAGAATAATTATGTTTTTATTTGTATTTATAGTAATAGAAAGAAAATAAATATATATAACTTATAAATGATAAGTGTATTAATGAGTAACAAAAATTTGCTACACTATTATTATAATAACATGGGATGTGGTGTGTGTTATATAGACTGATAGGTTGGGTCACTTGCCTTGAAAAACCAGATCCAAGAATTAGCGACTCATATATTAATAATAAATTAGCGTGATTTTATATAATCCCTATCCAAATGCCTTGAAAATATATAAATTGTTTAGAAAACTGTTTCCAACATAAGACTAATCATATTATAATATTATTGTGTATACAAGGTAAACCGCATTTATGTTATTAGCTTTTTTATGTGTCTGTGTATAAGACTCATATGATTAACAGATTGTCATTTACGACAATAGGTTGTAGTGATTGGGGATTAGATTATACTAATTAACACAATATGTAACAAATAAACGGATTTGACGTCTATATATAGAATTGCTTAACAAAAAGTAAAAAATGTTTTTAATCATACAAAAACTAATTACTTTTATTTAAAAAAATGCGTGAATATGTTTGGAAATAACCAATAATTTAAAGCTCAATATAAGACTATTAAAATATTCAAATAATATTAATATATTATTGTAAATAAGTACATTTCTAAAAATAATTTTTCTAATTGTATTATACATGTAATTATCTACAGTACTATTAATTGCGATCATAAATGTCATTCAAATGCATTAACATACTTACAGTACATTTATTTTAATATTTAAATAATAAAAACACAAAATAATAATATTTATAACAATTTCAAACATTAAAAATAATACAAAATCATTAAAAATTAATCAAAAATAAAACGGCCTGTTCCCTAAATACAGTTTCCCTTTATTCCTACCCTCGTAGGAGCTATGATAGTGTCCGACCACCGGCGCCTGTATCTCATGGGCTGGTGGTGTCCGGACGGCATAATACATATTTTCATTAGCCGTCACAAAATTGCGGTGCGAGTGGTGGGGGTCCTCCACGTCGGGCCCGTCTATTAGGGGCAGTCGTCTCACAACAGTAGCGCCAATATTGCCGTCAGTTTCGGTCAAACGGCCAAAATTTTTCGCATTTTCACCACTCGTTTGACGGGCGAAATGGCGGACAAAGTCGGAGGTCCCCAATGGGGGCACTGAATGGGAGTCACTCGCGAGATATAGTACCGGTTTGGGAGGGCTTTCTGGGCCCACTCGCAGGAAAGTTGGGTTTCGGTCGGCTGTCTATTAAATTGAATATATTTTTATTAATGGATATATATTTAGATATTTTTATTTGGTTTGTATTTATGATTACCTGACAGTATATGATGGGAACGGTACTAATAAAAGCGATTACACTCTTGATTATCTATAATATAAACATTGGTATTAATTAATTAAATTGCAAGTATATTATGATAAGTATTAAATTTGTACATTGATTGGAAATTAATTTAATTAATGAATTTTATTTAATTAAGCATACTTAATAGTACTGTATAGTACCATACTTAATTTTATTGACTATACTTAACTATACTACATGCATTAATATATTTAATTGCTTAAAAAATAAAACTATTTTGATTTGACTGGTGACAACTTACAAAATTCATGATTGCATTGACTAAAATGATAGCAATGTACTTTCACTTGGTTAGTTTGATGTGCAAAACTACTGAAATGGTAGATACGATGCAAATATATCGTATACTTTGTATAACAAACAAAACCGATGCCCAAAACATACTGTAGCCGCCTCTGCATCCAATCCTTTTAAGTCAATAATACATGAGTTTATGCCTAAAGTGATGGTATGTTATATGTCTCCTCGCATTCATCACCAAAACTCATGAGTGAATAATATCTCATTGATTAAGCGATGCAAACATGATTACTATACTAACAGTAAATGTGGGATCAAATGCATACTAGACCTACAATTTTGTGTGGGTTTTCAGTAGTAAATAGTAAATAGTATTTTATGTGCAAAAATCAATTCTCGTTTGGTATATAACTGTATGTTAAAAGTTTTGCAAACATTTTGTGCGAGTTTTATATACAGTATATTTGAGTCCTATTTGGCAATTATTAACTTAAAATAATAGGACAGGATTCAAAAATAAACAAAAACACCGCAAAACAACAAAATTAATTGAATTCAATTTTCCCTTAACTATCCTGTTATTGACTTTTATTTAGTTTTTACTTTTTTTTATAGTCCAAAATCTTTATATATGATAGCATTTTAGTGAATCCGGAATTAAATGAGTAAAATATATTTCACTCATTTTCTTAATGCAAAATAATAAAAAATATTTCATAAATTTAGAAAACATATTTAAATGCATGAGATTTGAGCGAGTTAATTGAAATTAAAAGCATAATCATAATATGTCATAAAAATATAATCTCATTACTAAACTTACTATTATATATTACAATAAGACTGACCTAAACCTAACATTTAACAATAAAACAGAACATTTTGCTACTTGTTGAAAAATGATTATGTGCAAGTATACCTCAGCACACCCTAACGTTTACTTATTAAGTGTATATTAACAGTGATTGAGATCCAAGGTGTGTTGCCTCTCAATTAAATACAGAGTGTTTAATTGAGAGGGTAAAACATGATTTATCGATGAATGAGTAGTTTATGTTCAATTAATAAGTAATATTTATTCATTTTTTCATTGTAAAATACTGAATTTTTAAATAAATGTCAACTTATATAAATCTGTAATCCAAATATCAATGATTCACATAAAGTTTTCGCAGCTACACATACTAATCGACTCATTTAAAAACTATGAATTAATAAATATAACAAATATATAAAGTTTTGAGCGCCAAAGCTATCAATATCGGCAAACTTTACCACCGAATATTAGACAAACCACTTTTCGTTATTAAACCGGACCTGGATAACAATTACTTACTAAGCTAAATCTGTATAATGGAGTGGGTTTAATTAAAATAACTAAGACACAGTTCGTGAGAATCAATGGTTAGACTTAATGCAATTTATTTTAAAATGATTAAATAATGAGTACTAGCAGCTTTTAAAAATAATTATTATGGTTACTTGTGGTCAAAATTAGAGCAATAACTAGACTGGTCAAATACTGCATTTTTGTCTCCTAATTAAAATGATATAATTTAATTAATAATTAGTGACATGTTTTTCTAAAATTAAAAAACTATTACGAAATTATAGTAAAACAACGAAATTAATTGAAAATTTAATTCCCCTTAACTATACTGTTATTGACTTTAATCTAGTTTTTACTTTTTTATAGTCCAAAACCTTTATATATTTAATAATATTTTAGTGAATCCGGAATTAAATGATAGAAATATGTTATTCACTCATTTTCTTAATGCAAAATAATCATAAAATTTTTCATACATTTTAGAAAACATATTTAAATGTATGAGTAATATAATTAGATTTTAGCGAGTTAATTGAAATTAAAAGCATAATTATAACTATGTCAAAATTATAAATGTCAAATGAAACGCATGAAAATATAATCTCATTACTAAACTGACTATATTAAAATATATTTATATATATATATTTATATAACAAAAGCATTTGCATGAATATAATCTGACATATTGTCAAATGAGTGAAAATCTTGTGTGATGTTTTAATTCAACATGGTAATTTATTTATAAAAGCACACACACAATAGAAATACATTAAACCTACTGACAACAAAAATGAATAACAATTTCTTATACAAACAAAAAGCACAGAATTTAATAGAAAATAATTATAATAATTATAATAATCCGAAAAAAATATGTAAATATATATTACAAGTAATTATTACTATCCGTAGTGGTGTTTACCGCCCTGTGGGGCCGGATGTTTAAAATGGTAGCCAAACGATGCGTGTTTTTTGTGTCCATGTCCTTTAGAGGGTCCCCGCCATACATTGATATAACTGCGGCCCCCGTGATGTCCGCCCATTACGGGCGCCGCCGATATCGCTATCATCACTATAGCCACGAATATAGCGATCAAAACTTTAGGCTAAAAACGAGTGACAAAAATAAATCTAAAATCAATTTTGAAGAGTAAATACGAAAAAGTTTAAAAATAATTTGTTGACAACAAAAAAAATAGTTTGTCAAACAGTTTTTGAAAAATGATATTTTTTATTTATATTTACAGACTGTGTTTGACATGTATATTAGGCAAATGAAACGGTAAAAACATGGGTTTTAAAAGCTAGTGAAAAATTACTATTAGTCTAGTTATATGGCATATATAATATAATATTATATATGGCTTAAGATATTTGATAGCGATTTGTATATCGCGTTTGAATTGATTTTTTTCACGAGAGATATATAGATATACTTACATTCATTGAGTAGTAGTCGTGTAGTAATCGTAAAAACTTTGAGCAAATATATGCCAAACAAATGGAAAGTTTATGTTCTGGCTGTGAATACACCACTGACTGACAATTTGCACATTACTTTCCTATCATAGGCTATACACGAACCTATTGATGGTATGGTATGGTCTCCCTTAAAATGCCTGTGCCATCAGTGCCAAGAACTTTATGGACGGCTGACTATTGGGTGAGTTTATGGCCACAAATGAGTGAAGATTTTGTGGAAATAAGTAAAAACAAAACTGGTTTCCCAAACAAAAGTATGTGTAATCAATGGTTATATAATGGTATGTGACTTATGGACACAATATAAAAGTTTTTATATTGTATTGATATATCGTTTTACGAGTTGATTATTATCGGTGTAATAGTGTTAGACATATAGGAAAGTGTTTAATATAT